AGTGACAGTGTCAATCTCTGTCAAATACTGAGATAAACTGGCACTAAAACAAATCCGATACTGACAGTTTTTTAGAAAATATATTTTGTGGAGATATCATTGTCAATCAAATAAAACATTGATACACCAGAGAGTTTAAAAGCTAAAGATCAAACCTGTACTGCTAGTCCTGAAATTCAAAATAAACTATCTGAAGAGCAATGTGTAAAAATAAAACAGTAAATTCTGTACATTTTTAAAACAATGGCAGATGGTGGGCCCATGTCAGAGGAACAGTGGATATACTTTAGGTTTTAAACTTTACTATTAAGGAGTAATCCAAGATGTTGAACTTATTGGAGGAAAGGGTTAACATCTTTCAAAGCTCTTTTAGTATTCCTAGTGACCAAAAAGGTAGGAGATGAACAGGAGGCCACGAGATACTAGTGCCCAGTGGAGATGATCTGTGTGTCAGAAGGTGCGTAGAAGCCACAAGATGCTCCCACAATGTGAGATTATAAAACACAGTGTCACAAAGCACATAAGAGACTTTTAGGATTGAGATAGAAGTGCTGTCTGTCTCTTTTAGGAATTTGGTTGTAGACTTCCAGCTTTCTATGAACATCCAAAGACCCCAAACACCATCTGTATCATTAGCAGAATATTTTATTTATTTAGTATATTTATACCTCACCCTTCTCACCCCGAGGTGGACTCAGAGCAGCTTACACACCATGGCAAAATTCAATGCCATATTACACATACAATAATAAATATAACATATCAATTTTAAAACAGTTAAAACATAAATACAATAGAACAGATTAAAAACACAATATTGTACCGAGTCCCATAGTCATTATTCAAGCTGCTACAATTCGAGTCGGATTCCATATTACACTACTCCCTGAAAGCCTGTGTGCAAAGCCAAGTTTTTAACTTTCCTGAAGACCAGGAAGGATGGGGCCAGTCTGATATCACTGTGGAGGGAGTTCCATAGCTGAGGGGCCAGCACTGAGAAGGCCCTGACTCTCGTTCCCACCAATCACACTTGCAAAGGTGGTGGGACCAAGAGCAGGGCCTTAAGGCTCTTGTTGGCTCATAAGGGGAGATAGGGATGTTTAACTGGTTTCATTAGGACTTTTCTTTCTAACCTAGGATGTATTTATAACTCATGACTACTCCTAAGTAAGTCCCAAAGGAAGGTGCCCTCAAGTGCAGAATGTATTTTGCTAGTCTTAAGATTGCTTATTCAGAATAAAAGCTTTCCTGAGAAGATCACTTCTCCTCACTCTGTCATCATGTGCCTTACATACATGTACGTGTGTATGTATAGGGTTCCCATCTCTGAGAAAGAAGGAAAGTCTTTAGAATCAGGGATAGGGAAAAGAACAAGTTAAACCTATAGCAACCTCCCACTATTTATTAATTTATCGTATCAGAAGCAAACCAAGGGTACAGTTATAATGTAACCTCCCATTGCTACTGATAGACTTTGGTTTGTCTGCCCTACTCAGGAGCAATAAATGGTATTGAACTCATTACAGTAAATATATAATACGATTTTCCTATTCATTTTCATTCCAGTCTGGAATAGTTATTAGGTGCAATTATATCCATTGCTGGACAACTTTTTATGATTAAAAAACCCCCAGTGTTGAGGGACTAATTGGGCAGCTTCTGCCAGTTTGCCATTGGGATTTTGCCACCTGCATCAGTAATGTTCTGGTGTATATTTATTGAGCTTGGTGGGACTGATTACTTTCCTGCCCTGAAAAGCAGATGTTGAGAATCAAGTTCATATCAAAAAGTAAAGCTCTATATTTCCGTATAGGAACACGGGAAGCTGTTTTATGGAGCCAGACTATTATTGGTGCATCTACTACTAACTAACTGGCCGCCCTACCTCAGAGTTTGAGACAGAAGTTTTTCCAAGCCTTACCTGAAAATGGCAAGAATTGAAATTAGTGTCATATGTATGCAAAACATACAGCTCATATATTATTGGCCATGTGATGGTTTGGATGTAATACTCAGTAAACTATCTTTGACTATTACAACAATGGGTTTGGTTTACCAGCTTTCCCACTCCAGTGCAATTGTGATGAGAAGTTTGGAGATATTTGCTGCCAATTTGTTTTGCTGATGCTTTGCATATTCCAATCACTGGAAACAACCTCAAATGACAATGTATGAAACTGTCTTGGTTTCACCATCATAGTTAAGATTAGCCACAATTTAAGGTGCAATGATACACTGTTCAGCAGCCAATCTAAATTGAAAAAAAACCCGTTGTATCTTGTCAAAGCCAAAATGAGGAGAGATTTAGAATTCTATTTATTTAGACTATAATTTGAGAATGCCTGATTCTGATACCAGTCTGATAACAGTCTGATACCATGACTTTGGGATTTTGGGAAATGTAGTCCACAGGTTTCTCACCTCCCAAAATAAGGCTTGTAGTACTGCATTTGGTTGCAGCCTCTCTTGGCCTTATTATACAATAGCAAATAATAAAAAGATAAAATATAATAAAATGCTAATATTTTTATGTTAATAACTAATAATAACTTCATTTATAATCCGACCTATTTTCCAGAGAGGAATCATGCTGCACAGAATGTGACTTAGTACTTGCCATGTTGCCCTGGTTGTGCAGTGGGTTAAACTCTTGTTCCGGCAGGACTGCTGACCGAAAGGTCGGCGGTTCAAATCCAGGGAGAGGAATGAGCTTCTGTCTGTCAGTTCCAGCTTCTCATGCGAGAAGCCTTCCATAGGATGGTAAAACATCCAGATGTCCCCTGGGCAATGTCCTTGCAGATGACCAATTCTCTCACCCTAGAAGCGACTTGCAATTTCTCAAGTCACTCCAAATATGAAAAAAAGGTTTATTTTTAGTTCTACCTCCTAAATTTTTTACTTGCATAGTTGCATTTTTCTTTGTTTAGATACAAGAATAAGCTTGGTTAAAATAATAATCCTTGTTTTTCTTTGGGTAGGATTGCCTTCGAGATTCCAAGTACAAATAATTCTCCCACTATGCTTTTTTTTTTTTTACAACTTGGATCATTTTGATGAAGGATTGTTTGTAAAGGCAGAGCAGTTGGAATGAATCTTTTTTCCCATTTTCGTATACCAAGAACATTTACATTACATCTTTGATCTTTCTTGAATGTTCTTCAAACATTCCTGTCTTAAAACATGCACATAAAACGATTTGTTGAGATAAAAGTATATTTTTTGATATTGGAAGAACATGTGTTGACATTGCATGTCTGTGTGTGGTATTGGCCGGAAATTAAATGTGAATAATTATGAGCATTCTTTCATTATGATTCTGTCTAATTTCATAAATCTTCCTTTTTTTCATAGCATCTTTTGGAAGTGGTATAAAACATTCTAAGGCTGGCTAATGATTAGCCTGTGACACTTCATTTATTTATTTATTACTATTTTTGAAGTACTGTCATCTTTCATATGCTTTTTGGATTGAACAGACTAAATATTTGGATAAATAGATGAAAAAAGAGATCTTGTAAAGGAACTTTGATGAAATATGTCTTGATGCATTATCTGCATGGACATAAGCAAATGGAAACTATATTCTTGCTGCTTGCTACAACCTGATGCTCTCTAGATATTTTGTATCAGTGGATCCAACCCTTTCTTTGACCAGGGATCACTTGACCAGGGTCCACTTTGACCAGGGACCGCTCTCCAACATTAGTACTAAAAGGGTTACAAATCAGTTTTTGGTCAACTTTAGATTCAGTTTGGGGTTACTGATTCAGAAAAATACATTGGATAGATCACATCAGCTCTAATCAGCGACAGGGAAAGAGTGGCAGGCAGTGCGAAAGGAGCAAAAATAAAATAAACAAAATAAAATAAAGAAGAAGAAGGCTTGCAGACCAGATTTTCATCCTCACAGCCCAATGCTGGTCTGTAGCCCACAGGTTAAGAACCACTGTTTTATACCCTAAGCCTCATCAGTCCCATGTAGCACACACAGTGGTCAGGAAGGTGGAAGTTCTGTCTTGCAGTATATATCCTGACCTGACCTACAACAATCTGGGACTCTTTATATCTTCATACTTTGGTTCCAGTTCCCATGATTCTGAGCCAGAATAATTGGCCTCTGCTTAAGTTTTTTATTTGTGACTTGGCTTGCTCTTTATTAGGGTTCTTATGTTTGTCTGTCTGGGTTATTATTTCGCTTTGTATTTTCTTTTACATTAATCAACTATGATGTACAGTGGGTCCTTCATATATCTGGGTTTAACTTTTGTGGGTATGACTATTTAAGGATTTGATTATGTTTTCACAAGGAACCTTTAGGCATTCCAGCAGATCTCTTGATCAAATATGTGCCTGGAAATGGCAATAGAGTTACACTGGCAGATCTGGAGATTCCTGGAAATTTAGGGGGAAAGTGTTTTAAGTAAAAGAAAAGTGTTTACCCACTTTTGCAGGGGTCCTATGCTCTTAACCCTCATAAAAGTGTAGGGCTCACTGTACAACTTTCAATTTCAATTGCCATCAAGAAATTCTTTCTGATGTTCAATCTAAATTTACCCTTCTGTAACTTCAAATCGTTATATCTTGGTCTATTGTCTAAGGCAGCAGAGAACTGGCCTGTCTTCTCTGGAAAAGTCTTATCTCTCCTTGGTCTTCACAAGTTGAGCACATCTAGTTCCTTCAAGCTTTTTTCACATGTTTTGTTCTCCATATCTCCTGTCATCCTTATAGCCCTCTCAACCCACTCCAACCTGCCTATATTCTCCTTAAAACCAGAACAGGACTCAGTATTCCAGTTGAGGCCTGAATAATACATATTGCTTCCCTTAACTTGGAAACTGCGCTTCTGTTAACACAAGCCCAAATAGCACTCACCTTCTTTGCTGCTTATGTCCAACTGCTGACATGTTCAATTTATGAGAAATGAAATAACTATATTTTAAGGAAGTTTCTTAATATTTTTGTTGCCTGCTTTGAAAGAGGGTATTTTTGTTTATTTGCAGATGTCAGAATTTCTACAGTGGAGTCTAATTTGGTTGTAAAGATCCAGCAGATGACCTGATGTCCAGTAGAAATAATCTTTCCTATGACAGTATTGGGACAGGTATGAGATCTATTACTTAGTTAGATTGAAGGGGGTCCTTTTTAACCATCTAATGATTCTGGTGTCATTAAAATTTCTATAACCAAGTCTGTAGGATGATCTAAGTCACTTCATGCATGAGTACTCAAAAGAACTTTGTTTCTACTGTGTTGAATGATGCTTACTACCCATGTTTAGGATTATGGTACCTGCATGGATTTTACATACAAATATATTTCCTTTTGTTGGCATTTCATTTGAATACTGCTGAGTCTACAGTCTGAAAAAGCAGATCTGTAGGAAGCTAAAGAGTGTCAATATATGTTTGACCGGGAAATCTTTACACACTCAGCAATGAGGAAAGCATTCTGCAGCCATAGTTAATCAATTTAAACTCTGGCTGACCTCCAGCTGGAGACTGTTGTTCTGACACCTATGAAAACAAGCTGTCTCTTCTCTACTAAGCCATTCTTTAAGAGTAAAACCCAGTGCTGAATATATCAGCATGGTAATAGAAGGAAACATCTAGCTAGAAGGACATATCCTATTTTGCCTTTGTGTTTTTCTCTTCTGCACTTCAGTTCAACTAGTATTATTGACTAACCAGTGCATCACAAAGGACTAAAATCAGCAGCATGCTGCGCTTTTAGCCCAGGTCATCCATGGAGCCCCCAGTGGCGTTAAACATTTGCTCTGGCAGGACTGAAGACCAGCAGGTTGCAGGTTCGAATCCGGAGAAAGTGTGGATGAGCTCCCTCTATCAGCTCCAGCTTCCCATTGCGGGGACATGAGAGAAGCCTCCCACAAGGATGATAAAATATCAAAACACCTGGGCATCCCCTGGGCAACGTTCTTGCAAATGGCCAATTCTCTCACACCAAAAGCAATTTACAGTTTCTCAAGTCACTCCTGACATGTAAAAAAAAATCCATGGAGCCGGCCGGCTCCCATTACATGACCGCGTGTCAACTCTGTGGGTGAAGGAGGGCAGAGCAGGCGCATTCCACTGGCAGGGCAACACGGGAGAGCTCCTGTGCTGGCATAAAATCTATGGGGGGAAACCACATGCACCACACATGCTCACACTCCCCCCACCCCATGTGATTGCACTCACTTGAATCCAGGCAATGCGGGGCATGGGGTGCTGGATTCCCCATACTTCTATGCGAACTGTAGCCCTGCCACCGCTGGATATCTGATGAGGTTGTTAGTATTCATTATACAAGTTGAAAGATTCTCAACTGACTCTCTTGATTTATTTGAAGTGCAGAAACAATTGTAGTGGGTCCCATAGTACATAGTACAATTGTCGTGGGTCCCATAGTGTGTATATTCACACTGCAAAATTATAGCACTTTGATACTATTATAACTGCCATGATTGCATCTTGTTGAGTCCTGGGATTTCAATTAGGTGAAGTCCTTAGAATTATCTGCTAGAGAGATTCAGTGTCGTTCTTTGAACTTCTGCAATACAGCTCTCTAGAAAAGAATTCCAAGTATTTCTTTCCAGATTTAAGTTTTCAGGATTCTGTAAGATAGAATTATGGCCACTAAAGTGGCATCAAGAATGATATAACTATGCAGTGCATATGCAACAGAGCCTTAGGATAATCATATTGCTAGGATACGTTTACTTCATTGGAATTGGTCTGCATTTTGGGTTGGGTGAAGGAGGCATTCACAACACATTTCTTTCCTTTCCCACTATATGAGATTAACAGCTACTTGGCCTGTCTGCAAGTATGATTCTTCTTGAGGAAACAGTGCCACAGTAAATGGCCCTTCTAATACTACTCTCCATACCCAAAACAGCTCTAGTTAAAGTAGAGAAAAGAAAGGTTTGGATGGGAATTTAGTTGAGGAAAGGTGTACCCATGGGAGGTCATGAAGATACATATTGGGGCGACTAAATAAAAGTAATGTGTTTATCTGTGTGTGTCTTCAAATCACCTACCAATTTATGGCAACCCAATTATCCAACCCATCCCTTAATATGAACATATGCTTGATATGAACACGTTCACTGGCTGTGCTGCTAGGCAAATAGAAAACGTATTTCTTTATGATGAACCTGTATCCTATAGAAGTATCTGTATAAACCTCCTCTTTCATATTGAGAACACACTCCCGGTAGGGAGGGGTAGTGATTGGCAACATTTGGACTGATGTGATCAGGTGTATTCTCACTCAGAAAACAGTCCATTTAACCAACCATTTAAACATACTCAATTTATGGAAAAAGGTTGTGGAAAACAACATTAAATTGGTACACAAATATCTTAGGAGAGTATTTGCAATATGTAAATGGTTCACACAAATTCACTTTGACATTCACAGATGAATGGTGAAGCAATACTATGAAGTATTTAATAATTTGTGTTCAATTAATATGTGATGAATTATACTGTTGGATGTTTTTGTAGAATTCATGGTTAAAGAGTATGGTCAGAATTTCATTAAATCTTACCATATTCAGTTATTATTTGAGCACTTCATCACACAGCTTACATGACTGCAGACCGGTAATGTTGGGAATGGCAAGAGGAATGTTAACAGATAATAGGGAAGGTACTGTCCTAAACTAAAAAGTGAGTGGATTAAATAAGTATACAAAAATGCAAAACCTTCAACACACATTACTTTTTATGCTTAATCCAATTGTGAACTTTTGACCTTTTAAAAAACATTTCTCGGTGTAAATTCTGGCTTTTTCTATGTGAAGAAAAATAAATTCCTTTTGAGATCTTGTATAATTTTTAAAGTATTTTTGTGAGAAGTTGGAAGAAAGCCTGTTTTGCAAGAAGGAGTCCGATTCAGTCTTGGCATCTTCAGATAGTCAGGAGAGCTATTGCCAGTGGCTGTATATTCTACACTCACTGGTAGCAGCTCTCATGACCTTGATAGACTTGGTTTGAGTTTCTACAGAATAGCATCTTGTGTTCTCAAACATTCTTTAAAATACCACTGGTATAATCAGAACTATTTTCAAGTCTTTAAATGTGTTATAAATGCCTTTGTGTATCTCTGCAAGAAATGTAAAACAATAGATAATTTTTTTTGTTATTGTTTCACCATCTGCCATATTTGTTGTTAAGGGCAAGGGTTTCAATTTCAAGAAACTTTTCCATATCGAAAGCTAGCATGTTATTTAGCAAGAGCCGAGTGTGCAATAATACCCATTAATAGTTCAGTGAAATTCCAGACAGGGAAAATATCCTGCTATATCTCTATATCAGATGGTATAGGACCATATTTCAAGGAAGGAACTGGCAAAATGATCTGTGAGTGTTCCTTGCCTAAGAAAATTCCATTAAATTCATGGGGCCTCCATAAATCAAAGCATATGCACACATTCTATTGTGTATAACAGTCCATGGAAGTCTGTGTTATGATGATCCTTGGGATAGCCTGTGAAACTGCAGATAGCAACTTCAACAACTTAATCAAATTGTTCTGTTGTGTGTTGGGTGGAGTTATGGAAGAATCTACCCTATACATAATATTTTCCATGTGTTTCTTCTCTCTATTGCATAGTGATAGTCTTTCCATCAGAACTGATAAATCAATTTTATGCATACCCTTGAGAAAAGTAATGTTTGTTTCTTTGTTAAGTACTTGTAAACTTGTGTCCTTTTCATTTAATATTACAACCCCCCCCCCCTCTCTTTCTCTGTAGCAGAAGGGAACTGGATAAACCAAAGTGCATATGGTACTCTAAAGTTTCATTACTGGTTCTGTGCACAAAATGATTTCCACAGCTGGGAGCCTTTAAAAACATACAGATTTCTTTTGGTAGACACAAATACATTCCCTCATCTGTTTGGTTTCCGATCCCATGATCTGATTTCAGCAGTGAAAAGAGAGACCTGTTTGCACACTTTCTGTTCTATTTGAATCTGGTTCCTTTCCATGCATCTCTCCCAAGGTTAACCTTGCTCTGAGCTACAGAATCTGCTGCAGTCCTATGCCAACTTAATTCAATTCAGTTTTCTTGAACCCAATTGGGCATCTTTCTGAGTAGATGTGTAGAATTGCCCAGGTCAGCGATATTTCTAATAGAGTGGGCCCTTGGTATCCACTGGAGTTTGGTTCCAAGACCTCCCCCCATTGATTCCAAAATCCATAGATGTTCAAGACCCTTTATATACTATTGTGTGGTAAAATATTATGCTGTGTTTAATGTGCTGTCATTACTTTAATCCAGATCCTAAGCAAATTTCCATCATTAAAATGCACATATTCTAAGCTTATAAACAAATCTTTTTGATTTCAGTCAAATTATACACCGTAAGTGTAGTTAGAATCTTTTCTTGATCCAAAAACATTGCCCTGATATTGCCAGGATTCTTGTAGATCATCCTAGGACTTCTATATGTTATATTTTGAAGTAATTGCCATTTCTATTAAAGGTAGAATAGATCTGCTTTTTTCTTGTTGCATCATTTACAGTAGTCTCCATAGCCACAAATTCTGCATCCACAGATTCAACCAACCACAGATTCAAAATTTTCCCCAAGAGTAACAATCCCTAAAAACCAAACCTTGATTGTGTCATTTTACACAGGGGATACCATTTTCCTATACAGTATTTTCCTACACAATAATTTCCTACAGTCCTGCCGCCGTCGCAAATGTGATTGGTAGGGATGAGAGACAGGACCTTCTCAGTGGTGGTCCCTCTGCTGTGGAACTCCCTCTTCTTTGAGATTAGACTGCCCCACCCCCCTAGAATTTAGGAAACAACTTAAGACCTGGTTGTTCAAGAAGGCATTTGATGAATGACAGGAGTATGGAAATATGAAGTATTTAAAAATAACCTGGGGTTCGAAGTAACAACTAATGTTTTATGTTCTGTTTGTGACTGTTGTTTATAGTTGTATAGTTTTAATGGGTTTAATCTATTGTATATGTGGTTAGTTTGATATGTGATGTTTTATATGTGTAAAGCATTGAATTTTGCTAAGGATTGTGTTGTAAACTGTTTTGAGTCCCCTCAGAGGTGAGAAAAGAAGCATATAAATAAATAATATATAAAGTGTCCTGAACATCTATGGATTTTGGAATTAACCAGGATTGGTGGGGGGGGGTTATCGTGTCAGGAGTGACTTGAGAAACTGCAAGTCGCTTCTGGTGTGAGAGAATTGGCCGTCTGCAAGGACGTTGCCCAGGGGACGCCTGGATGATTTGATGTTTTTATCATCCTTGTGGGAGGCTTCTCTCATGTCCCCGCATGAGGAGCTGGAGCTGATAGAGGGAGCTCATCCGCCTCTCCCCGGATTCGAACCTGCGACCTGTCGGTCTTCAGTCCTGCCGGCACAAGGGTTTAACCCACTGCGCCACCGGGGGCTCCGGGGGGGGGGGGTGAGAAACTCTGAAACTTCAAGCTGGGAATTCAATTGCTAGTAAATTTCATTTTTGGTCATAATTGGAGAAGAGATATACAATGGTTGGATTGATCAAAGAATTCTGGTTTGATCTTGAGGAGCTAAATTGGACTTGTACCACCTGTGACACAACAAAAAGAAAAATAACCAGATTCTTGAGGCCTCCTTTGAACATCCCATTTTTCAGTGTCAATCAGTCAACTAAAACTAGAAGTCAGAATGTGCCTGGTATTAATTGTCTTTTACTGATTTTATGAAGCCAAACATAGTACAAATTTCATGTAGGTTTGGTTTTCACTCATACACCTCTTTGCTGTGATTTCTTTATTATAATCTGCTTATTTGAAAGTACTTTGAAGCACATGGTTGAAATTAATTGTCATTATTGACTCTGTTGATATATCATCACAGTTGCTAAAATGTCATTATGAGTTGCCAGTTAAATGACATACTAAATATAAAATTTATCCATGCCGCAGGTTAGAAAATAAGTAATTCTCCTCTTCCTCTTTCAGATTCCAGTAAAGTGATGGAAGAGTACAACCATATGCAAAGCCAGGTGGAAATACAAAATACGAGTTTGGGAAAGGAAATAATGATGAATTCTCTTGAAAATGATCTTCAAGACATAATGGACAGGCTCAACCAGAAAAAATATTCGTCTAGTCTGAAATTGAAAACAAATGCTGACTACTCTGGTTCTTACTTAACCCTCTCACAGCCCCTGTCACCACCAAAGTCTAGCCCTGTGTCCAGTGTTAAAAGCATGCCATCTGTTACCAGAATCCAAGGAAGCAAACCACTGGTTTGTGAGAGCTCTTATCTTTCAGACAGGAATGTTTCTGCAAAGCACATGGGCTCTCTTTCAGGCACGTCTCCATCCTTCAGTGAGCACAGTCTCAGGAAGAGAGACTTTGATATTTATGCTTCCAGAGAAAATGAGAAACAGTTTGGACATCTGGATAAGTTTCCCTATTCAAAGTATAGTCAGAAGAATAAATCTCATGATAACGTCTACTTCCCAGGAGTGCTAGATGGGCGGAAAAACTCCGGCTCTCTTCTTGCAATGTGGAATGGAAGCTCAGGGAATGAGATCATTCTTTCACCACTTAGTGGCTCTGGAGCTGCAAGTATGCCCTCCAGCCCAAAGCAAGGCCGGAGGATGAATATTCAAGACCTTCTGTCACTTCAGTCCAGGGTAGCTAAACAGAAAGACCCAACAATGGAAATTTTGGGGTCCAGAACCAGGAAGTACTCTGGTGGTTCACTGAGCCATATGGGAGTTTATAGCCGTTCCTTACCTAGGCTTTACAAATCTACAGATAGCCAACTCATGCCGCTGAGTTTACCCCCAAGAAGCTCCCTCGGGAATTCCAAAAGAAAAAAGGCGATGGAAAAAGATCTTCTACCTCAAAGCATGCTGGATGCCGACAATTACCTTAATTTTTCTTCTCACACCTCAGGGGTTTCTCCATATACAAACTTTGCATCTGAAAGCAATTCCTATGTGAACTCCACTCTCAGTGTTCCTGCGAGCCCTCGCATGGCTCGGAAGATGCTTCTGGCATCTTCTTCTTCGTACCCTTCTGATGACTTTGACAGAGTTGGACTCTCAGGGACCAGCCCAAGTAATTCTTTCATTCCTATAGATTCTGAGAGGGCATTCTCTTTTCAGAGGAAAGTTTCAAGCAGTTCCATGGAGTTTGATGAAACAGAGCTGGATAACCTCAGGCAGACTCCTTCCATACGAGAGAGAAAGAATAGCATCAGTTCCGTCTCTGGAAGGGATGACTTAATGGACTACCACAGGAGACAGAGAGAAGAAAGGCTTAAAGAGCAAGAGATGGAGAGACTGGTAATTATTTTCAGTTAATTATTTTTAACTTTGTTTGGAGCTTCCAAAGCTAAATGTTTCAACATTAATAATATTGAGGGTGTTTAATACTACTTTGCATTTTCCTATTTATAAGTGAAAGTAAAGGGTTTTCCCCTTTACATTAAGTCTAGTCATGTCTGAATCTGGGACGTGGTGCTCATCTCCATTTCTAAGCTAAATAGCCGGCATTGTCCAAAGTAATGTTACCGGCATGACTATATGGAGCACCATTACCTTCCTGCCTATTCTACTCACATTTGCATGTTTTCTAACTGCTAGGTTTGTAGAAGCTGGGGCTAACACCCCTCTCCCCAGATTTGAACCACCTTTCGGTCAGCAAGTTCTGCAGGCCAGCGGTTTAACCCACTGTGCCACTGGGGGCTCCAATCTACGTATAATCTGTTAAATATATACAGTAGACTCAGCTAATCAGGACTCAAGCAACCAGCCAAATAATTGAAGAAATAATACTTTAAATATAAATCTAAATAAAATCATTTTTAAAATTCTGTAAAACCAGTTTTTATAATACAGTAAAATTGTATTACATTAAGTTTGTCATTATTCGCTTTTAATTACTGTATTTCAGTATCAAGTCAATATAGAATGTATGGTATGATATAGCATGGAGTATAATTAGGCCTATTTTAAAAGTAACTCCTAAACTAGCAGGTAAAGGTTTCCCCTTGACATTAAGTCTGGTCTTGTCTGAATCTGGGAGGTGGTGCTCATCTCCATTTCTAAACTGAAGAGCTGGCGTAGTCCATAGACATCTCTGAGGTCATGTTACCGGCAAGACTGCATGGAGCACCATTACCTTCCCGCCGAAGCGGTACCTATTCTACTCACATTTGCATGTTTTCAGACTGCTAGGTTGGCAGAAGCTGGGGCTAACAGTGGGAGCTCACCCTGCTCCCTGGATTCAAACTGCTGACCTTTCGGTCAGCAAGTTCAGCAGCTCAGCGGTTTAACCTGCTGTGCCACCGGGGGCTCCATTACCATTTATAACATGGAGGAAAAAATATTTATTGTGTCAATTTTTAAAGATTGCACTGTGTAACACAATTTTTATTCCTGGGTTACAAATGTCATTTCCTAATTGGTTCTACCATAAAAAAATGGAAAACGTTTATTAAACTGTGAAAACTTTGTTTTTGCGGGACATCCTGTAGCAGATTTTACTATAGTTTTTCAATGAATATCTCATAGTCTCTCAACCATTTCAACATAGTTTGTGGTAGTAACAGAAACAAAGTCTCTGGAGTATAACAACAACTGTTTTCAAAGTAAGTACCTCACAAGTAAACAGGAAACAACACTTTCAAACCAGGAACAGAAATTGGTTTCAAATTTTGATACATAGTGTCAAAATGTATTATGTAGTCATGTTGTATGTGGCCATGTTGTATGCAGTCTTAGTAATAAAACCATCTGTATGATAGAGGAAATTGATAGAAATTATAACTCGTCCATAATGACTAGACATTAAAAAGTCTCAGATTACATAGTCTAGGAACTCAAAGTTTAAAGGGGGAAAAAAGGTTGATGTCATTGTTTTGTGGCCACTGAATAAGTAAAGCCATGTCTCCAGTCTAAATTGTTTGAGGGCATAGTTTTATGCATTTTGCTAAAGGAAAAAATTCAGAAAATGCAATGATGGCATATGGGTCAATTTGTTCAATCAAAGCATATTTCCATTTCTGGTAAGGTTTTACAATGTATTTATATAGTCCGGAATAAGTACCATGAAGAAACACTCTTATTTATTTATTTTTATAATGCAGCCTTACGACATCCCTTTCACAATTTGTAATATGTTGTATATGTTTCCACCTTGTACAATGCCAAGTTTATTCTCAATATGCTAAATGAAAAGTTTTCTCAAACGGATAGTATGCTATTTGGGTTTCTTAAAAAACAACAAACCAAGCCAGTGATTTAACCATGTTCAGTTGTTCCAATATTTTCTTTAATAACTTGCTTTTCCAAGTGGCCTATCACTACTTTTCAATGCTTGCTTGCTTGCTTGTTTTGTTTTGTTTTGTTTTTTTTGCTTTTAGATGATTTTAAAATGAAAAGCCTTCTAGAAAATATGCTTTTTAGGGAGTGTTGAAACTTTTTTTTAAAAGAAGTGAAGTACTTGTGGATGCTGCTTGGGCTTTATTATATGATTGTTTTCTTTGGGTCCTAAGCCAGATATGTTCTTAAACATTCACAAAATAGCTTATTGTAATAATAGTGTCATGTTACCCTTTTCACAAGGTCACAGTTCTTGCTTATGTCTAGAGCTCCATTAGAACAAGAACCTTTCTTTTAGGAAAATGGCAGTCGAAGGGAATTGGGTTATGCATTCTCCTGATTTGAATCTAGTGAACTAAAGTGAATCCATCAGTGTAATAACAGATTTTATGTGCCTCATACATAATAAAAGATACCATTTCTACTCAGCTGAACATTCCATAATTTGCTGGCAGAGTTAAGAGTCATTGTTTGATTAAAAGACCTCAATTACAGTAACTGTCTGGATCTGATCAGCAGCTGTTTCAACACATGGGAAGAGTTAGAATTGGCAGTTATTGTAAAACGTTACAGGAAAACTGTATGGAGAGTGCCAAATATGAGGTATTGAAGGTGGGTCAGTATTGTAACATATACTTTTCAAATGTCATGTCTTTAGTTTGCTACTTAATCCATTTGTATTAGAAATTTGCACATAGATTACTAAAAATGCCTTGCTTTTTACCATTGGAAGTAACATCGTTGGTAATTGTTTTTGTTGGAACTAAGAATAGTTTCAACAAAAAAGGAGAAGTACAATGGGTTCCATTCAGTTTTGATCCAAGCCTTAACTTAGTACACCTACTGTATAATTGAAGTTTTGATAAAGCATTTTGGTGCTATTTTTAATTTGTGTGCCTGTGCTGATGGGTTCAACTAAAGAATGTTGGATTCCTGATCACTGCCTAAATCTAGTCATTTTTTTCCTCAGAGTAGACCCATTGAATAAGTCGGAAATTAAGAAATCACCACTTATGTAATTCCTCTTGATTATGTGTCTATTAGGACTAACATTGAATTAGTCCAGAAAATTTCTAGCAGTCTTCAAAATTCCCATTTTTGCATAGGTGGGATCTATGATAAAGGCCTGCCCGCACAACAAATGTGTCTGAGTTTTGTGACTTTTGTGAGAACATTGAGACAGTAGAAAAATACTGACACGTTAAAAGTATTTCTTTCTGGAATGCTTTTTTCTTATTGAAATGAAACCAGTGTATTCGTTAGAGCAGTTCTTAGGCAACAAGACCCTGTATTCTTGTTGCCTAAGGTAAACCAGCATATGGTGTTCTTCCCAAAGTCAATGTGTGCAGTACCCAAGCTGATAATATTAATCTAGTATCTTAGGGAGAAAATCTAACAAATTCCTCCCTTACTCAGCAGTGAATAATACATTAGTAATTAAATAGCTAACTAACTGTTTCTATCTTTTTATAACAACCAGAGCAGCTGTACAAGGTAGATATCTCATTCTAATGATATGTCCAATAGTCATGTGCATTCGGGACTTACCTTGATCTGTTTCGTGTCCTGACTTTCAGAGGACACCCCGATCCATTTTCATCTGAGTCTCCTGAAATCGGGAGGTTGGATATTTGGGGTTTTTTGGGTGGTGGTGAAAGATCCGGTTTTTTTGGGGAGGGGAACTTCAGCCATAGGCCCAAAGTACCCAGGCCTATGGGTGTAGGCTTTGGTCCTAAACACCTGGGCCTTGCAGGGCCTGCAGCCGAACAAGGAATGCTCGGTGCTCGGCTGCAGGCCCTGCCAGGCCCCAAGCAATCGATCCGAAAAGCAAGCTTGGAGCCGGTACCTGCTCTCACTTGCCTTTAGTTTCTATTGCATTTTCGTTCCAAGAGGGGCCTTTCCGTTTTGTGCCATCTGAATGAATGGAATGAAACGGAAACACAAATCAAGTGAATGGGACAAATTTCAGGCCCATGACTAATGGCCAGCCATTCTGGGCGGGTAGTGAGCTAAGTGTTGAAACTGATGAAGAAAAATATAAGGAGTGGATGCAGACTTAGTCATACTTAGAAAAGAAGACTCAGTGAAATAAATACTAAATTAAGCCCCACTGAGCAAATCAGCACTACAGATGATTCTCCATTTTTGCAGGTTTCACATTCATGGTTTTGATTATTCACAAGTTTGAAACCTGCCTCTACCCAAAGCTGGGTGAACATTTATATGGCATCCCCATCCTCAGGAGGTGAGCTAGGGGTCTGTTCGGGATGCAGGCATGCCACATGCCTCTCTTCCACATGGCATCTCTCTTTTTTGGGATGAAATAGAGATTCATGGCACACAGGTAATAGGAAGAACTGGCCCTGTGCAGATCCAGCTTTTCATCCTCTTCCTGTGTTCTGTTAATCTGTTTCACCTGCACAAAGGAAGAGGAGTACTGGCTGGAAAAGGGAAGAAATAGCATATAGGAAGAGGAGGAGAAACTGGATCTGCCAGGTAAGTGGGACTATTTCTTTTTTGTCCTCTTTGTTGTGACTTTCTATTCTGCCTGGTCTCTCCTTCCCTTTCCCGATCAAAACAGAGACTTGTGATAGGAAGTTAGGAGGAGGAGCCAGACCTACACTGCTTCCCTTACCTCACGGATCAGGTTCCTCTTCCTCTTTTCTGTGTCCTATGAATCTCGATTCTGCCAAGGCAAAAAATGGGAGTACCAGTGGAACAAAAACACACACCACACAAGCCCAGTCACTTACAGTATCAAGTCAGCTTGTGCAGTCTGGGTAAACCTTAATTCATTTTGGTGTCCTGGATTTGGGCAGGGGCCCAGATCCATTTTTCAGGAGCCTTCCGAATTCGGGTGTACTGAAATCCATTTTTGATCTGGGAAGCTGAAAGATTTGTTTTTAATCTGGCCCCATTGGCTGTTAGGAATTGTGGGAGTTGAAGTCCAAAACACCTGG